TGGTTGCAGCCGTCATTGTTGTTTGGCGGGTCCGGGCTGGGGATTCGAACCCGCCACCTTAGGTGTACGTGGCTGGCGCCTTAGCCGGTTGAGCCATAGGCGCTGAGCCGCAAATCTCCTTCTGATCTGGATCGGGGGAGTCACAGAAATCCCCTTCAGGTGTCAGAAAGTGTGATAATGCTGTGCTTTTGTCCCTTTGGTTTGTGGCCACCGGTCAGTTCCATTCTCTTTTATGGCCCTTAGGGCTCCATCAGATACTCGCAGACCAACAGGACCCTTCCACGTCTGATCCTAGCTAGGGTGTTGCTGGTGGTGAACTTGGCAAGTTCATGAGCCCCACTGGAAAAGATTTCAGAATCATCTGTCCATCTCACGTTGCCAGCTTGACTGTGGCCACGCCATCAGTGCAGGCTGTACCGGTGTCTACCATTTGAGTGAGGATGGTTCCTTTGAGAGCTGGGATATCCTCCAAGGAATATTCATCCCAAGACGCGTGCTGACGATGGTGATTCCGCCATGCCTCCTACTGTCCTCCCCAGTTTATTCTGGGGGCTATAGTAGAGACCCCTTGATCTAAGGGAGGAGGGTAGGCAGGGTGGCCCTTTCTGGCCCCAGGTAGAGGCTGAGACTGCCCTGAACTGATCTTGGGAGTCCCAGACTTCTGAGCCTGGGGCTGGATCAGTGTAGCACTTAGTCCTGTTCTGGCCATGGAGGTCGAAGGGAAGTCTACCAGGAGAGGCATCCGTTCCCGAGTAATGACATAAAGGCTCAATATCCAACTTTCTTCTCACCGAGGACACAGCTGAAATGCCTGGAGGTGGCACCATCACTTTGTAACTGTGAGGACCTAGGTGGTGAGGATGATAAAGTGAAAACCCAGATGCCCGTGTCTGCAGCGACGTCACTGAGCTCCCAGGTCAACTCTGGACTTGGTGCACAAGCGAATAAATAAAGCCTCTCTGTTTACGTCAGGGCTCATCAAACTCCAGAAAGGGCAGACAGTAAATATTTTAGGTTTTTAAGCCATTTAGTCTCCATCATAACTACTTAGCTCTGCTAATGTAGCATGGAACCAGCAGTAAACAACTTGTCAGCCAGTGAGCGTGGCCATGTGCCAATAAAACTTTATTTACAGACACTAAAATTTGAATTTTATGTAGTTTTCATGAAATATTCTTTCTCTGATGTTTATGTACTTTACAAAATACAAAAACCATTCCTAGCTTGCAGGCCAGACAAACACAGGCTGCAGCTTGATTTTGCCTCCTGGTCTTAGGGTGCCTTACCTGGGTTTAAGCTCCGGTGGGTTGAATTTTCTGTAACTAGCAGTCTAATGCAGTCTTACCTGACATGGTGACAGTGATGGTGATGTTCCTTGCGGAGAGGTTATTTCTAACTCCTCCGGCTTTTTCTTCTGTCTGTTTCAGAGGGCCTTGCTGTTGGAGTTGGATTCGGGGCTGTAGAAAAGACGGCATCTGCTACCTTTGAGAGCGCCAGGTAAGCCGGCACCTGGTGCCTGGAGTGGGGCCCTGTGCCCCGTGGTGCTGTGGCGGGGGGGTGGGGGAGCTGTGCGAGGAACTGGTCGGCACCCCAGCTCCACGGGGCCAGGACTGATGGAGGCGGCCATGCAGTCAGGTGAAGTTCAGACCAGGGAGAGGTGCTCAGTCTGAGAAGCAGGGGTGTGCCAGGGCTGTCAGACCAGCTATCAAGTGGGTGGCCATCGTGAACACCAAACGCGGAGATGACGGCACTTCAAATGTTTAAAGGCTACCGGCAAATTTAGTGTGACGGGCGAGGACAGCCGTCAGCGTTGTTCCTTCAGGCTGGGCCCTCCTGGTTTCCCCTCTCTCTCCGCTTGCTCTCAGAAGGCTCCTGGAGGTGGTCTTCTGTCTACGGCCCTTTCTCACATGTTGGCGTTCCCAGGGATCTCTGTCTAGCCCACCCCTTCTTCCCCCTTACTGCGCACTCCTGGGCCACTTCCCCATTCTCATGACTTTATTATCCATCGATTTCCTGGGATGCCCACCTCGATCTCCAGCCTGGACTTTCCGCTTACCCCTGCAGGGCTGGCTCCCTCCTGGGCGTCTCCACCTGGATGACTCAGGGGCTCCCCTCACTCTGCATTTCCAGACTTGAGCCTGCGTCCCCATCTGTTATCCTGTGCAGGCTGCCCCGCCTTCAGAGTTCCCTGCCTCCACCACGCTCAGCTGTCCAAGCCAAACCCGCTGTCACCCTTGATGCTGCATTTCCCCTCACCTTGCGTAGACAATCTTCAGGCCTTGTCAATTCTTCCTCCCTCCTGCTTCTGTTGAATTAGAGAGGGCCTGCATGAGGTCACAGCCTGGGAGCACGTGGTATCCTGTAGAGGTGTCGTAGAGGCATGCTCTTGTGGTCCACAGGAAACACTGTAGCCTCCAGGGGTAGCCTTCTTGTCCAAGGGCAGCAGACTCCAGTGCCTTCAGGGGACTAAGGGCTGAGGATTAAAAACCACCTCCCTGCTTAGAAAGGACAAAATACAACACTGAGTGGGGAAACCAAGTGAGGACAGTTGGGAAGGTGAGGCCTGAGGTGAACGTTATGCAGCAGGCACACTGGCCAGAGGTGCATCAGTTTACAATTATTTAAAAACATAATTCAGGTCAGATGGCTGCAAGACCACCGGTTTGTCACCCCCACACCTGGCTCCATCCACTGCCTTCAGACTGGTGCATTCCCAAAATATTCTTCCCCACTCCCCCAAGGACATGGCCCACTGTCCTTTGGTGACCAGCCCTGTGCCCATTGACCGTGGCTGTCAGAAACTAATTTCTCAGGGAGCCCCTTTCCATCTTTTCCCAGTTACTGAACTGTCAGGGGGCCTCTGTGTTAGGGTCACCTTCTTGCAGCTGTTTCCCCAGCTGAAGTGGAGCCCCTGTGTGCTAAACCTGGTGCCTGGAGTGGGGCCCTGTGCTGTTCGCAGTCAGTGGAAGATTCTAAGACTCCACGTTAAGAGATGTGTTCATTCCATGAAGCCCAGACCCTGAGGGTGGGCTAGCACGCTAGAGGGAGATTCGTCCTGCTCTTCTTATTTCTGTCTCCGAAGCTCCCAAGCCATTTACTCTCTCTCCAGCAAGACCTCTAGATTGTAAGAAATGTCACCCAAACCAAAGGCTAATTATGAGTTACAATGCCCTGCGGGCCGGGGCTGAGGGCATGTGGCTGTTTGTCCCTTGGCCCATCCGTTTTAATCTTGACTTCATTAGACCGTGAAAATCTTCAGAGTCACCGGGAGCCCAGAGGGGCTGACCTTCTAAACATTCAAAGGCCGGGTTTTCCCAGGGCAGGGGAGACCAAGCCCTGCAGGAGGTCTGTGCCCAGCAAGTGACAACCATGCCCCAGGCATTGTACTCACAGGCCAGGCTCTCTGTCTGGTGGCGCTACATCCCCCACGACATCACGATGTCAACTCCAATGTCCCTCTATTCTGTCACCTGCACTTTCTGCCAATCTTTATAAATATCTCCAAAGAAAATGGAACAAAAATCCTTCCAACCCGGCTCCCTCCTGCCTTCCCTTGCCCAAGCAGAGTGTCTCTGAGTTATATACGCCCTTCATGGGATCCTCTAACTGGGACTGGATTGGGGCAGGAGGTCTCTGTGTATGCAGCCTCACAGGACCCTCTGCTACGCAGGTGTCTCCAGGGGCGTGTTATACCCCTGAGCCCCACCCACTGGTGTCACAGACCATGGAGCAGAGTGGATGGAGCTCTGCTGCCATCACCACTGTATCTGAAGAATACTGGGGAGTGAGGGGTTTCTCCAGTGTACCCTGCAGAGAGGGGAAGAGGGAAGGAGCATTCTCCCTCAGGCAGACCCTTGCAACCCAAGCCTCCACTTAGTAATGCACCTACAGTTCAGGATTGGGGTCTTCCTTGCCAATGCCTGTGACCTTACCCTGGGGTGGTGGAATGTAGACTGGCTCCCAAGCAAGGCTTGCTAGCTTTCCCTGCCTTGGCTCATACTGCGGAAAGGTGTTCACGGGAGGACTAGACACACGAGAGTCCAACCTTTTTTTTTTTCCCTGCTGCACATTGGAAAAAGAAGAGTTGGCTCAGGCTACACATTAAATACGCAAACACTAACTAAAGCTGAGGAGCAAACAAAAGGTCCGGGCAGAGTTTTCACAATAATCAACAGTGAGGATAAACAAACCCATTCTCATATAATCTACGTGTGGCCCGAGGGGTACAGCTTGCACATCCCTGGGGGGTAGCAGAAGTGAGAACTTTCCTCTCAGGCACCTGAGAGGGAAAGGCATTTGGTGCATTGCGGGGAGGACTGGTGGAGCCTGCAACTCTGCACAGTGTGGAATGCTCAGCCAGAGACGGCTGGGGCCAGGGTGGGGCCTGTCTACCCAAGGAGGGAAAGGGATGCGCCTTCCGGCGGTCCCATCGTGCTGGGGCTTCTGAGCCAGTGTTTGTGCTTGTGTATCAGGTCGGGAGAGTTAGGCCCTGTAGAAACAGGACGAGGGCTTGCAAGGGTGTCCACATGTCGGACGGTGTCCTGCCTGAGATCACCATCTTATTCTAGATGAAACTTTCTGGGGTTGAAACTTTTGCTCAAAGCATTGGCATAGAATGCACCCACACTCATTCTCAGGACCCTCTTCCAGGAGGGAAGGGAAGGCAGTCACACGGTAAGTCACACGGTAAGATGGTTACAACAGAATTAGAAAGTGAGCAGGCAGCTCGGTGAGGTGAGCGGCTGGTGGAATCCTGTTGTCTCCAGGACTGACTGTGGCAGCGTGAGGCTGGGACCACTGTGGCTTAGAGCACCCAGCAGAGGGATTGCGTATCTGCTCTGGCCTGCTCGGACTCTCCTAGACCCGGCCCTTTGTGGAGGTGTCTCCTCCGAGGCTGCAGGCGCTCCCCTTTCTTCTGAAGGTCTTGATTTCTGTCACTCATTCCTGCATTCACTCTTTAGTGAGCATTGCTGTGGGCTCCACACTGCACCAGTCCCTGCAGAGAACACAGTTTGTGTGGCATAACTCTGTTTATTTGTCACAAGTACTTCCAAGGACACAGTAAACTTTTAGTACCTGGCCAAAGACTTAGAAGGAGAAGGAAATGTTAGGTTCTAGATATAAGGGGAAGAAGCAAAGACAGTGTGGTGAGTGGTTTCAGATCCTGCCAGAGGCCAAAGGACTGAGCGTTGGACTTCATGCTCATGGAGTGGACGGAGACATGGCCTTCCCCACCATTGCCAGGGAACCAGAACGGCCCCAGCCTGATGGCCGGGGAGCATACTCATTGCCTGCCTAGAAAGAGGTTCTAAAACAGTGGTTCTAAACCTTCCTAATGCCGCGACCCTTTAATACAGTTCCTCCTGTTGTGGTGACCCCCAACCACAAAATTATTTTCGTTGCTACTTCATAACTGTAATTTTGCTACTGTTATGAATCGTAATGTAAATATCTGATAGGCAGGATGTATTTTCATTGTTACAAAGGGGTTGCGACCCACAGGTTGAGAACCGCTGCTCTAAAACTTCACCCCCTGGTCAGTCACTTGCATGTGGAGCTTGCCCTCTCTCAGGGATGTTGCAGAGAGCCCAAACCCAGGAATTAAGCAATTTACGCTCTTTTCAAACCCTCGTGTGCCCATTTCCCAAAATTGATTAGAATGTTGTGCCACAGAGAAAGTCAGAGTAAATACCCCGGGATCGATACATTTGGACCACATTGTCTGACCTCAGCGTGACATAATTGAAAATCGATAGCAGAAAAGATAGCCACAGTAATCTGTTAGTGGGAAGTTAAGCCTGTAGGCAGCATTAAGATTAACACCATCTAAGCTCCAGGGGCCGGATCCAAACCAGACTATCTAAGGACCAGGAGAAGATGGGCTCATCTTGAGGGCACTTCAGAGAGGGGGCTGTATTTCATCAGGAGCTGGGACAGAAAGGGCAAGTTGTGCTGTTGAGCAAATGCCGTGCGTGGCCCCAAGGTGGTTTCAAGGCCAGCAGATAAACAGACTTGGCTGAGGTAGAACTCACAGGTGCTCTGGGGACCGAGTCATTTGAGGTGGGCTAAAGAGCAAGTGCATTACTCAGGGAGAGGTTGGCAACTACGGGGGCTCTGACATAGGCGTGACACCCCCAGAGGTGATTTAAACAGGAATCAGGCTAAGACGAAATAATTTGGTGGAGGAGGGAGATGGGCAGGTGGACCAGTGTGAAGAGTTCAGCAGTTGAACAAAATGTGGACAGATCTCCCACTGCTCTGTGTTCTGGCAGCTATGAAGAAGAGGCAGGATGTCGCCGTGATCCCAATGGGAGTCAGGAGGGGCTGGTCCAGGGAAGGGATTTTAGAAGCAGGACCCACAGATGGCATCTGTTGGCTAAGTTTTTTGTTGTGTGGAAGAGAGGAGGGATAGGGAGACAGGTTAATCCTGTGGTGCTGTGGCCAGGGTGCTGAGCAGGGACAAAGGATGGCTTTACAGGGAGCAGGACAGGTGCGAC